CTTTTACAATTAACACAACATATCATTTGTCTATTAATTCTAATTTATCTCGTAATCAGGTCGTCACCCTGTACTTGTAACAAGTGCATTTAAACGTCACTACGCCTACGAGACTGAATAACACTTTGGGGTAGATCACGAATGTTCGGAAATTGCCAGACGTTATCGTAGGTCGCGGATGAAAAGGGCCCATATACCTCTATATCATACAACTTATAGCCAAGGAAGGGGGGCGACACCAAACACGAAAAAGAGGGTGATTCAGCTAAATGAACAAATTCGTAGCACTAAACTTAGCCAAATAATTTAATAATTAATCGAATAAGAATTTTGACCCCACCTGAATATATCTACAGATAGAATAAATTCCAATTATACTACTAAATCTTACATACCTAATTATGTTTTCATCAAGTCATAAATATATCATTCGCACAATATCGTGTAAGTTACAGAAAATCATAATTTGAAAACCATAACAAAATGTACAATGAGTACATCAGTACAACACTATTCATTCAAACTAATTGAAAAAGCTGTGTTAGAGCGGCGACAGTCAACCGCCTGCTCTTTTGTAGCGAGCCTCGGCAGTTTGCAGCTGTTCATAGATTACAGGCCGTAAATAGTGAAATCAATATTGGATAATGGTAGGTGGTAGGGTGCGGAGTGGTGGTGTCGGTGGAGAGTGAGATGCACCCTTACTACGATCGTCACACTCGCAAATCGTAAGGAAAAACACGCAAATCTCAAAGAAAATCCATAACTTAAATGAGCTCTTATAAGTTTATCGGTTCTTAAACTAAAAAAGCTATTTTAATACAAGTGTGTTCGAGAATCAAAGGTAAGGGTGCGTGTGCAGGCTGTGTCGACGACCCGTGAGAGTGAAAGCGTGTTCCGGGGAGGCGCGCAGGCCGCCGCCCGCCCTGCATGGCTTTCGCTGCCGTTCTCACGACACCCGCGACCACGTTGTTTTCAACTTGTATTAATTAGCGCTCTATGAGCTGTGATTACAAATTATCGTATCAATACATTTTATTCTAATGTTCATTGTTCATCAGTGCATACGTAAAGTAAGCGTATAAGTGACTTATTTAGTGTTAAGTGTCTATTTGTAGTTAATTCGAGTATTACCATGAAGTCTTTTATGACTTTATGAAATATTTTACGTTAGAATAATTTGGAAATTTATTCTATTTTTGAAACATCTATATTAGAATAATTTCTTGGTCGGATAGTATAAGTTTTTCCCGCGACAACACTTTTGAAGATCGTTGCTAGTGTTGGTGGGATCGAGAGCACGGTCACGGCGCGCGCCGCGGTCGCCACACTACGGAAGTAATGAACTTGAATGCAGTCCGCGGTCGCAATGCGCTGTGCCGTCCCGCTCTCCTCTAATAAGAGAATAGGAGGCGCGAACGTGACGTACTCACTGCATTTGCTGTCAAATTCGTCCGCATTCTCCGTCACAGGCCGCTTTCGTCGTCGATGCGTTTATCGGAACGAGACGCGAATATGTGTGTCGATTGCATTCTCGGCGTCGTAAAAGTGCATCTAGGTCGGTGGGCATAGCGGCGCGGCTGTGTCGGGTTAGTGGTCGGCGCTCGCCGGCTAGACGTGAGGCAGGTCGGCAGCACGGCGGGCTCCGTGTTGCATAATGCGCACCGCGCTCCGCCGGCGAGCACGGCGACAGCACGCCACCGCTGAGTGCGGCTCGCGCGGGCCCGCACCGCGGACATGAGAGCGGCTCGCCGGCTGCAGCCCCGGGTTCCTTTGCTGGCGCTGCGCATCTTGCTCGAATACCTCAAGTCGCTGCACCTCGCTCTAGCCTCCTAGGCACACCATCAGCACACTATTTATGCACCAAAGACGATAATACTCTTTGTTTATCCGCGGAAATACTAACATAAACGCGAAATATATGAACAGTATCTCAAGAATTTCATGAACGATGAATATTTATGATTGTAAGTATTGCCATATTTTTATCAATTTCTACGAAAATTGTCGGTTAAATTTAAAAAGTTTCAGTGTTGTGCCGGGAAGTAAAATGTTGACGCTTAATAAATTGATAAACTAGGAGACAAAATATTTTATACTTAAAAAAAATCCCAATACAGATTTTAAATCAGTGTTTTAAATGCACTTCTTACCAGTTCTAATTTTTAGCTCATGTGAGCGCAAAGAATAATATAAAAAGTGTTATACATAGTGCAAAATTATCACTATAGTTATAATTCCGGGCAATTTATTATTTTCGTTCCACAAAAACCATTTAAAAATTAAATATAAATTATTTTATAAAAACAATAAATAATTCATAATATATAATGTTATATTGTCGCTATCTAACCAATAGGTAGTCGCGTCTATTTGCAGTGGAAATATCTACGTATTAAATGTATTATTAGCCTACAAGGTTAGTGTTCCCGTTGCACTCTCGCATGGCTATGTAACATGTGAACATTATGTGCACTCATCATCGCTATTTTACATCACTCTTATTACTGACACTTTTTCTTGCACGACCTTGCACTCTTAGCTTGCATAACAAACGTTTTCTACTATAGAAATCGAAAACCATTGCGATCGTTAACCATATACCTACTAAAATAATTATTTGTATGAAGTCGGTTAATGCTTCCGCGTACGACACTTGGAATAGTTATTATCGCTGCATTTGAATCAGGAAGAGGAATATTGATAAAGGGACCTTGTAGAGTCCGAATAGATCAAAACAATTGATTCATCATATATCTTATTAATCACTGAATAATAACGTTCTGCGTCAACGCGCATCTCTTGCTGGTAGGGTTCCGAGTACTTTATTGTCATTTTATTTATTTATTCAAATAAATGTCCTCATTCATAAAATATGTATAAAAGCTCTAGTCGATTTCTCTATTGTTTGGTAGTTATGGTGACATTTTATTAAGAAAATAATACAATAATTATCGATACATTTTACAAATTTAACGTTTAAAAAAATTTAACGTGTAATCGTTTTAAAAATATATATTCTAATAAAAAGTAGTGGATTTAAGTTAAATCATGTGATCAATCATCGTTGTGGTTAGTAAGATTCGGAGCGCGAGATTTTTTTTTCGTACTTAAATAAGCGATTTTAAGAATCTCCTTGTGCACTGTAACTATTATTCTTATAGTTTTTATTTTATGTTATATCTTACAATTTTCATAATTTACAATTATAGTAAAGAATAAAAAAGCTAAAGTGTATGTTTTAAATATTACGTGAAAGTTTATTTAATAAATGTAAAAGTTGATAGCCCTAGCGTGGTCGCAACGTGCTAGCGTAAAGGGCAAGTTCAAGAGCGAGCGCATCATGCGCATGCTCAAGGTTGCTTCCTGGTGCGCGCGCGACGATGCGCGCCGCGGCCCGCGCTGTGCGCTACTGTGTGATAGCACTGCACTACTCTAGCTACTCATTAACTAGTACTTCGTTATAACATTATATTAAAATTATTATTAAACGACGTACTTAATTCAGGTAGTTTCCAACAAATATTATCTATAACTTTCACCGATCATTTTATGTAAGTGAAAAGCAAGTATGTAGTCGCGTTGTTTACGTAGAATAAAACCGAATGTTATAATAATATAGGTAATTAGGTAGGTATATCTATCAAGCAGCGTTATCATGAGAGTTACTAGTACCTAGCAAGTGGTTGCCGGGCGGGGTTGCGTGCGATGTGTGACATTGCGCGGACACATTGCGCAACCTGCACTCACGGTCACGTGCCCCCCCCTCCCCTTCCTCTCACTTCTTCACACTATATCCCCACCATCACCGACGTTACTGTGTAAACATCAGCCCTTACGCAAGAATTACCTGCATACATTATTTATACGATTCCCGCTTCACCATTCATATTTCAGTTTTATACGAGACAAAGTATATACCTAATATTGGTTATTTCACTTTGTTTACAGGTACTTTCTTATTCCTTTGTAATGGTTGTTTAATAACTATAACTGTTGTTTCAGAATGTATTGATTAATTCAAATGTTAAAGTGACGTATGTACATAAGTACAATAAATACTTAGCGATGCACCACATTGGTTACAAAACTCATGCATAAAACCATTACAAATGCAACGCATAATGTTTACAATACGGTGTTCGAGCCGGCGCTTGCGCAACAATTTGAATGTCAAATGGGGCCGGTTTGGAAAACAAAATTTTCGTTCTCATCGAGAGGAGTCGTCGGCCGCAAGCCGCCTCGCTTCCGCAATTATGCAATGAAATGTTGAACTTCAACGTTGCCTCATAGTCACTTCACCGATACGGGAATGCATTCTTTTACGAACCTGCCCATACTTAAAAAGCCATAGAACGTGCCTCGTGTATATTTACTTTTGTCGTTATTGCATAACTATTTCGAAAAACTTTAACGGTCGTGCTTTCTTTGCTATCAAACTTTTAGTACTTGTACTTGTAAGAGGAAACAAGTTTGGAAATCATTAATGTTTATTAAGATTGGCATTATTATTGATTTTATTCGAAATTTAATCTAAAATTGTTTTAAACTTTATCGTTCGAAGAATCACCAAGAATTTCATTTTCGTGACCAATTCATAGTTCCGTATTCCACGTGTGTAGTGCCAACTTGGCAAATATTCAATGCATCCGCCGTCAGGAGAGCAATACGCGATCGTTTTGGTATAACATCCTAAATTTAAACTAATCTTTTATGTAGTTGTCATGACAAATTTAATACAATTAGGTACATCATAAAAATATACGAGTACCACATGCACAGGATTTAAATAAATAAAAATAAACATTTATTACGTTTTCTTATAAAAAAATTAATTTGTAATATCCTAGTATTCTACTTACTTTAACTTTAATCCAATTATAATTTACTAGCAGAAATTGACAGGAGTTTTCAGAAATAGAAAGCTTTGTGTACATAGCGTAGTATAATTCCCCTGAAACATAATTGCGATTATTACTAACTACAAATGTATTTTGTTCCAGGTACAAGTTACTTCAATACACTGAAAGTAATTATGACAATAGTAAATTAAAGGACCAAGGACACATCTATCAAAATGAGACTGGTAAGTAAATGCCAAAGTAAGCTTTATGTAAATGCCAATTCAGACTGATAAATTTTGCCAGAAAATATCCAAGCATTCAATTGAAATTGTTGAAAATATAAATAGGCAAAGGGGAAGTGTTGGTGCGCAGTGGAAAGTGCGCACTTATCACAAAACTGGGTCAGTAGTGGCGCCGCCCCTTTATCGAACGTTGCTTTTCGCATTTCACTTAGAAAACTAAACTCTGTCAAGAAGAAAATAACACTCAAAGTTAAATGACACTACACAAAATGCACACGGCTGTAAAGAGGGAAAATGCATCACGTTACGATGTAGTTTGCATATTTTTGGGGCCTGAAAGTGATCGGGTAGCGGACAGATAGTGTTAAGTCTCCGTTCCAATCAAAACGTCTCGGAGAAATATTTCTTCCGGTATTTGCAACTAATTTCAAAGTAGAAAACGTATTTAGATATGATTTAGTGAGACAGTGTGTGACTTTATTGACTTGGGGTATATTGTCAACAGTCAACCAGCGAAGAAGTTCCGAGCACGACAGTGGTGGGCCGCACAGGTAGTCCTGGAGGCCCAGATGTAGTGAATAGCGTGTCCAGCGCGAGCGCATATGATGTAACACGCATGCGTGAGGAGGAGTTTGAGAGGCTCACAGTGTACATCGTGCCTGACGTGCCTTGCGAACGGGGCACGCCCAACCGCGCCGAGAGGACACTCCCGCGCAGTCTGGCCCTCAGACCATCTGCAGTATTATCCACTCCCAACACACCGGTACGTCAACATCTTCTACAGATACAACACTAACAACAAAACAACGAGGCCATCGAAAATGCTCTACATCACACTTGTACGATTTTACAGACTGAAGGTGTATGGAGTATAGGTGTAATACCGCGTGGAACACGTTTCGGGCCCTTTGAAGGCACCCGAACACCGAACAAACCTAATGACAAGGTCTCCTGGAGATATTATTGGAGGGTAAGTGTTACCGCCATCCTATCGTTATCAAATCATAAGAACCAATAATCGCAACCCGCTTTGCTTTTATTATTGTAATTTGGTTGAGGCTTGTATCTGTACATTCAACAGCACAACCCTTAGAACGCAGTTATTGACTCTCCTCAACTAAGCAAACTAGACTAATAATTTCTAGCGTAATTTTTATACTTTATCTGTATACAAAGCACTATTATTTTCTTCTTCTATTAACCGAACTCTCTCTTTGGGCCAGGTACAGGAAACTGTGAGGCATCATACTTATGGAAATATTAAGGTGAGATTGGGCTTACAAATTCAATTTCAATGGTGATGGTCGTATAAATATATTTTCTGCAAATATGTACACATTATTTGTTTACAAATCATAGCCACATCATTATTATACAACATGTCATTAAGTTATACGGTGGAGAAACTGAATCATATAGTATATTATCGCTTAATGTCACGCACCATCTAGGTAGAACAAATATTTGATTAAAAATTACAAGTAGAGTGCAATGTCGTAAAATAATCACAATGCATGTTGTTGATAGCCCTGTTCACATCCCTAGATGAAGGCACAAGTACTTATAATTGTTCAAATGTAAATGATTGTTTAAGCGTGCGTTATCTTCCGCGTCCTATATTACCTCTCGAGTGACATTGCATCTCGTCCTTGACTCCACACTACTGAGTACTATAATGTAAGCGTGTCGCTATCAGTTGCACGCGCACTGTAAATATCCTGCACGTGTCACGTGCGCGAATAACATGTGTCTAACTCAATTATATAAGTTTGATTCCAAACATACATAATATCAGCAAGTAACAAACGATTGCATTAAACTTAATTGAGAAAAATCTTAGAACGTAATAGCATTGTTAGTCAATTACTACAAACATCAAGTAATTACTTCAACAAGAGTAGTCAATGGAGTGGTTTGTGTAAACATAAATTACATTTAAATTCATATTCTTACAAACCAGTCGTGTTGTAAAAATTATAAACTACTACTTTTATTTTTAATAGATTGGAAATTAACTATGTATAAATGTTCACTACAGAGTGCAATTGTTATAATTGATGTTTATTCATTGCAGATATTTAAGGACAGTGACTATTATTACCTGGACGGTTCCGACACCAGCGTAGCAAACTGGATGCGATATGTCGCGTCTGCGTACTCTCTCTCCGTGATGAACCTCGTGGCTTGTCAACATCAGGAACACATTTACTTTTACACAATCAGGTAACTTCACTTCACAATATCACTGTAAACACTCACATTCACTTTATTACTCTCGATTACTAATTTACGTATTTATCTTTGCAGAGACATCATGCCAAACGAAGAGCTCATGGTGTGGTATTGCAAAGATTTTGCAACAAGGTTGGGGTATGACATCGATCCTGAGAGGGCCACATATTCCATCTGTAAGTATTTCAATATTTTGATCACGATAGCCTAGAATAGTAATTGCAAAAATATATTTTAATCACTTTTTTATTTATAGGTAAAGAAGAAACCATTAAAAAAGCTTATGGCTTGCCACCAGCACCTGTGCATCCTGAAATAGCATTCAATCACATGAAATATGTTCTTGGATTAACAAATACCAAGGACCTGTTAGAAGCTGAAATCCCGACTCGACGGCGAAAGCGTGAAGCTACTGACAAACCTTTTCATGAAAATCCTACGCCTATACATCGGGAAGATCCGAGATGTATTAATAAAAATGACAGGGTGGTGCTAAGAGCAGACATTTCCACCAATATTATTCATAACAAAAGCGAAAACTCAATTGTTACAGAACAAAGATCATTATCGCCAACTAGCTTAATGCCTTCACCATCACCGGTCAAAATGCACAGGGAAAATCCTACTCTAATAATACATCAGCACAAGGAGAGTACATCCCAAGTGGTTATACATCAACTTGAAAATCCAAGAATACAGAGTAACAGGTCTCCTGCCCAATGCCAAACGTTGAGGGACATGCGTGGGCCATCCCCAATGGCGCAAAATGCCCAAGAAAAGTTAGGAAGCAAATCTCCTGTACTAACTCATTGTGTGGGGCCACACTATGAGCATCAACTGACCCCCAATGATGGATCTGTGCGATCAGATGAAGGATATCATAGCAACGGCTATCACGATGAATTCACTCCTCCTGAAGATTCGAGTGATTCCGATGTAGAAAATTATGTACTTGACTGTTCCAATAAAACTAATGAACCCAAAGAAACAGTAATAGTCCAAAAAATGGATCAAGATATGCATCGTAACGAATATAGAAAAGTTAAAATAAAAATGCCAAGAGCATACCAGTACCAGAACCACAAAGACATGGACTGTGAAAGTGAAAAAGAATTAGTAATTGCTGAAGAAATTCCTAATACTCCACAAAATTTGTCACCACCAAGACGTGACCCTGCCACATCGACTGTTATAGTACTAGAATCGTCTCAAAATACAGTGGTGCCACTAACCAAGCCATACTATGAAGACGGCGCTTTGTCTCCATCTCCGCAACCGGCGTTCATGAGATATTCTCCACCTGATACGAGAATATTGGAAACAATATTGACTGGAAACAGGATCGATACAAATAACAATGATCCTAATCGCCGTCAACCAAATGCGACACCGCCACCTTCATCTCCTACTGAAATGGCTTATTCATATAAGAAAAGTCAAAGGTACGGCAATGCTTGCAGTCCGGACTCTAGCTCGAATTTGACTCCTCTGCCATCCCTATTGCCACTGCCACAGCAGCTGCCTACACCCAGCGCTGCTTCACTATATTCGTCGTCACCACCGCACACTATCCCGCATACTACCGAAATCCGAGAAATTAGAGAAATAAGAGAAATTCGTGAGACACGGTATGAAAGTCACTATCCTAACTATACCTACAACTTATATTCTCCTCCTAATTCTACGATAATAACTCAACTAGGATCACCACCCAGCAATTACTCGCCGACAGTGACGTCATCTCACCAGTACGAGAGGTCACAGAATGTTCAAAGTAATCACCACTATCCATCATCAACCAGTGTGATTACACTAAAAAATTGTTCACAATTAAGTCTAATTCAAAACACAAATGTAAACAGTCAAATGGTTCCTCAACACGGCAGCGTCAGTCCTGATGGTTCATGTGGGCTCATGGGAGCACCAATGAGTCCTGGCTCACAATCTTCTCGAGGGTACAGAAGCCTACCTTATCCACTTAAGAAAAAGGACGGGAAAATGCACTACGAGTGCAACGTTTGCTGTAAGACGTTTGGACAACTTTCCAATTTAAAGGTTCACTTGAGAACGCATTCAGGCGAGCGCCCGTTCAAATGCAATGTCTGTAGTAAATCGTTTACACAACTTGCACATCTACAGAAACATCACCTAGTACATACCGGGGAAAAGCCGCACCAGTGTGATATATGCAAGAAACGATTCTCCTCAACATCGAATTTAAAAACTCATCTGCGTCTACATTCAGGACAAAAACCATACGCGTGCGATTTGTGTATGCAGAAATTCACACAATTCGTACACTTAAAACTTCACAAGCGGCTACATACGAATGACAGGCCATACGTGTGCCAAGGCTGTGACAAGAAGTACATCAGTGCTTCCGGGCTACGCACGCACTGGAAGACCACTAGTTGTAAGCCGAACAACATCGAAGAAGTTTTAGCAATAACTAATGCAGCAAACACTGAATGCATTGGTAAGTTGTTTTGTCACTAATAAAGAAAATAATACTTTATCACTTCATGCACTTTTTCAAAAAGTCCCCAACTTAAACAATTTAAGAAATTTTATTAATTTAAAAACAAATGAAAGAGAATTAACGCGACCGCAGTCGCGAGAGCAACTGCAGCGCGCTGCACTTTCTCTTCGTAGGTGAACCGCAACTTTCACTTGCGCTCTCGCTGAACGCGACCGATTTCATTTTCGCGTGCACTTTGCAGGTAACGTCGACAAAGACTGCCACGAAAGAGAGGGGCACGAGGCATACGAGGTGCACTCTCCATCACAGGGCGGGCTGGTGGGAGCCGGTGGGGCGCGTGTGGCAATGTCGCACGAGGTGGTGCTGGGAGGGCAGGCGCACCAGGCGCACACTACCACGCCGCACCTGGTGACGCACTCGCCGCTGTCGCCGCACGCGTACCGCGCGCTGCCGGAGCACGAGCCGCAGTACGCGCCGCAGCCGGCCGAGCCGCGCGCCAGCGTCATCGAGTCCAGCCAGCCCCTCATCATCGAGTGCACCTGAGCCTTGTTGGCGCAGCACGCACTCGCCGGACGCGTGTTTCCCCGCCGCATTATGTGATTCCAGTCTTGTGATCTAACGAAAGTATTTCGTAAAAACATTCGGACGACTAGTTCGTCCCTTGCAGTGGCTATGAGATTACGATAATAAACTTTAAGTTGTACATTTGTAAGATTTATAACTTGTAAATGCGATGCGATATTATAAGTACTAAGTACTTGCGTAATGTTAGGCCCTTCGGGAAGTGTATCATATTAGGTTAAGGATTTAAATATTACATCCAAGAATTCTGCAGCCTCTGTTAATACTAATGCTCAATTTTATATATATTAGAATTCTATTGTAAATAGGATTTTGAGACATCGACTTATTTAATTTTTTACACGATAAAGATGTATGTACCTACTTCCAGATATAAATGTCTTCGTAACAGTGTTATCGAGATTGATGACTATCCCTAATTATTTGTTGTTCAATTATAAGTAGTATTAAACATCAGCAGTACACAACAGTGCTACTATAATAAATTTTCACCAAAGAATATCTGAACAGCAATGAAGTGCCGAGTGAATACAGTTTTGTGAAATTATTTGAATCAGTCCGAAACACTTTATAAAGCAACTGATTAACGGTAAGTGCCAAAAGCACGTTTATTTTTAAGTTAAAATTAAAGAGATGAGCGTATAGTATTTTTAAATTGTTGTTCCTAATGAATATTTGGAAAGTAAGCGCATGATATGTGCAGCAACGTAATTCTAATGTTATTTAGATTAAAATTGTCAAATTGTGTACATTATCCCTACGCTAGAACAAATGGTGCTTCACATCGTAGAGTAGTGGTTGCTCACATCGTACGCGCCGCACACGCATGCGCGCGGCGATGGACATGTACTACATTGTAATGTTAATTCACCGAGTCTACTAGTTACTATTTTATATTCCCAAGTAATTATGATTCTCCTATTCGAAAAGGCTGAAATAATTAAATGTAATGTAATGTTTGGCAAATATTAAACGTAAGTAAGAGTTGGTTTACATTACGTGTAACTTGTGCAGTCGTGGCTTGCAAGCAAACTTCGTGTGTAATATTAAATTCGCAGCTTATACGTGATGTAAAACCAAACGATAGCGTTTTGTATATTTCTATTGTTCGTACGAATAAGATTTTTACACGCAATCCTTAGTAGATTTATTAACTGTATATTTTATACTGTTTACAGGGCAAAAGAATTTGTACTTAAGCCTGCTGACGTGTATGGCTTATAATAATTATATCGAGTTCACGATCATGTTAAAATTTCGGCTGATTTCGACGTTGACGTTACTCATCGGATTGTTTAAAGTTACAATTCTTTTCTCGTGAAAACAATTATTTCTATTATAGTAATATTTAAGTCCAACACTTTTCTAACCACGTACATATTGCATCCATTATTAAAACTGTAAATTATGTCTAATAGATACTTAAACTATGTTTCTGAATTAAAGTTAGATCGTTAAAAGAATTGTATTAATAAACTTTCTTTATGGGCGATTATAATATGTGTATTATAATATATAGATGTTTGTATATTAATTGTAATTACTATTTTTGTTAAATCTTGTGATTCAATGGATCTGTGAAGTGTTTTCATCTTCCCTAATTTGAGCATGGTACCTTTAGAGATGTAAAATTACAGGGTTCTTTGCGTGTTCCTATCGAAGGTCACATACTTTATTAGTAAACGACTTTACTAATTACTTACACGGGAATCGCTAATATTAAAAACTTTGTTGTGAATTACGACTTTATCTACTTATATTTTTTTACAAAATCGTTTTCAAACGTCGAAATCATCTATGTATCGATTGTATTCATCTCAAAATTTTAACAAATGTAGGAATATGTGTACGTTAATACCTACATTATGGCCGATAAATTATTGTTGAGTGACTTACACAGCTTGTTGGCTCCGTTATTACGTTACAGAATATATGAAACTAAACTTCTCGCCATTCCTTAAGTTCAACACTTATAATACTTAATATTTTGTTAGATTTGATAGCATCTACTTTATTTTCTCTTTCTCGCTACTCAGCTGTTAAAGCGCTCAACAGTAATTTATCTTTGAAACCTTCATTTGTTTTCATAAAATAGTTTTGTTTTACAACGGAAAAAAGTAGACTATAAACAGAGTCCAAATTTGTACGGAAATAAAATAGTAAAAATCGCACAAATCTCGCACTTTGTTATAACAAAACTAAAATATAAAGTAAAGTATGCTGAACAGTACGTAGGTACCATAAACCATGTTATTTTATTTATTTATTGGATATTTTCTACTTTAATTTTGTTTATTGTGAAAATTGTACTTAGGAACTAATTAAACTGTAAATAATTCCAATGAATTATAAAATAATGTGGTATATTTTTAAATAATTTACATTTAATGGTATATCAGTCACTATCAAGTTGATTATAACTACGTATATTTGAATATTGTATAAAATCGACACCTAAGAGAGATTGACGGTCATAATAAATAATGTAAGTACAATATGTTACTTGTGGTACAGCAAGGTAAGCAATATTATCACTGTATGTATTTAATACCTTTTGCTACTATTATGTATAAATATAATGTACCCGCATACACCTCGTAAGGAGTATAGGTAATATTGTAAACTACTTAATGCGCCAGAACTTACCTACATACTGTAAAGGCCTGTAATTTTGTACACCTTGATCGATAATAATTATTTTACAACACCAAATTCATTAAAACGGGAGTAAAAGTATAAATTGTGGTTTTATTAATATTTCTTACCCTAATACAAAACATCAAAACGTAGATAGTTATGTGCGGGCGATAGATATATGTATAAGTAAGCGAAACATCGCTTTAACGTTGGCTGTGGAAGGGCAGTGAAAATTCTCGTCCTACAGAAATTATTCGATATTTTCTTGACTTAAAACATGCTAAGTCCCTCGATTAACCTTTCATAATATATGAAAGATGAACATACAACCCAATTCCAACCAACATTTATAAGTAAATCCTACTTAGTACAATAACATTAGACGTAAGAATCCAGTAATACACTGCCGTAAAATATGACGTGCATTTTCTAACACTCTCACTGATGAAGAAGGCACTTGCACTTTTTGCAATAAAAGTATAGAGTTACCACATCCAATTTCGTTTTTATATTCTACGCTCAATTACGATACATACATCTACTCTACCTACTTACAAATAAATAAATACAATCAACTGATTTTCGGTGTAGCTTAGTCTTTTATTGTCCGAAAGTATGCAGCGAAGCATATGAAATAGTCTCTACAAAGCTGCTACTGAAAAAGTTTCCATAGCTATATATTCGGATCAATTATTTAATACGATTTATTTTTACGTTTAAATTAATGGAATTCATACTTATTTTTTTCATATTTATTTCTAAAATAGGTACGATCCTCAAATTCCTAACCCCCAAAAGGTCGGTAACGCAGTTGTAACACCTCTGGTGTTACAGGTGTCCATTGGCAACGCCGATTGCTTGCCATCAGATGATGGATCTGCTCGTTAACCGGCTTATTCCATAAATATTTTTAGTACATTAAAAAAAAACAGGATTAGGGGAGTAAATAAAAATTAAACGTTAGGTAATCTGCATTGTATTTATTACAAGTATATCTAAACGCTAGGTTTCGATCAGTTAACTACAAAATAACAGTATTACAGAACTTTTAGTCCAGTATAGATTATTGTTGGCAATCTCTCTAACTCTTTATAAAAATATATTGTTTACCTATACAGCGCCAGGAAAATTGAAAGTGAATCCTGTTTGTAACGTGATAAAGTAGAATATTAAGTAAAGTAAGTAAAAACGCGGGTTACTCACGTGAATATACTGAGAAAAGCTCTACTAGTTTCGAACCACAGAGGGGTTCTTCCTCATGAGCACAGCTCGCGGCGACGTCGCGCAGCTCACCGAGTATATTCACGTGAGTAACCCGCGTTTTTAGTTAATTTAGTATGTCTCACGATAGTTATTATAAAAACAAGTAGAATACTACTTAACATAAGGCAAGTTTTATAATTAAAAATATCATTTGTTTAGAATTTACTATAAATACATTAAATGATCTGCTCCATTCAATAGAATATCAATAAGCGAAAGAGGCTGATAATGTCGATATTTAATAGACTATGAATAACTATTTGTAAATAGTTAATTAAATAATGACAATAAAAAGGCCCGGCAGTTTATTTTATTCTAGCAACACCAAGTTCAACTTCCCTTAGGATACTGCCTAGTTTCATCACAATATTGGCTTTGTAACATCTGCAACAGTTAACGGAGTATCACTGTCGGTCGTAGGCTCCGGTGCTCGACATTTCTTCAAATGTGTCCTCATGTTAGACGATTGGGTAAAGGCCAGCTTACAACGCGGACAAGAGTAAGGCTTCGATCCAGTGTGGAAGTTCAGATGGGATTTCAGATGATGCTTCTTTGTGAACGATTTTGGACACAGTGTACAGGAAAACGGCTTTACACCTAGAATAAATAAGAATAATTTAACATTACAGATAGAAAAGTAATTAAATGTTATGGAGCAAACAATGACTTATTCATTTATTCATTCATGTTTTTCAATATTGTTGTAGATGCATTATTTTGTTCTATCGCTAATAGTTTCGGCAGCGCATTCGACGAAAGACATTTTAAGACTCATTTACCCTACACCTACGGTTACATTGTTCAAATTTTACCAAGGATTCCTAATTTTTTTCAAAATGAAACGTAATCTATGTCAAATTGGAAGAATGAAGCTTTCTATTGGTGAAAGAATGTTTTAAATCGGCCCAGTACTTTTTGAGCCTATACATTACAAACATACAAAAATAGGTACAAATCTTTCCTCTTTATAATATTAGTATAGAAGTAGGGACAATCCCGCCACAACCTCCCAAACCCGCTGCAACTCCTGTAAGCCAGGATCTGCAATAGATACAACCATGAAAACACCGAAACACTGAAGTTCGGGGCGTCGCAGGGACATGAATAACTGTCTTGGTTCCCGCAGTAAAGTGAATCAAAAGATATTATAAGAGAGGAGGAAAAAACTATAGTTTTCACTTCCCTCGGTGAATTACTGCAGGAGATAGAATGAACAGTTTAATGACTTCCGCTGTTGCTAACCATCAGAGGAAAATGTTTGGATCACTTTTGGTCCCTATAAGTAATAAGAAAATATCATTCAAGTTAGAAGTTTCTTACATATCTAAAGAGTTATGTGACTAAATAGTAAGTACCACTTATGACATAAATACACATACCATAAATCATTGCAGTACATCAAACAGTTGCCGTAATCAAGAATATAAGTAGCTGATAACGGTATCTATATAATTAATTTAATTTTAGTTTGATCGCTAAAGTCGAGCGCAAGGTCATTTCACTGGAACTAATTGATCACTGTCTCTGCGATAGAAGTCGAAAGTCTTAGTTGTATAACATATTTGCTTATCTTTATTTATGGAGATACTGAGTATTTTATAAACATTCTTGAGTATAAACAAAATATGCTCAATGAAAATGTTAATTATTTCCTGATTGAAAAAATATTTCACTTGTGAATTAAAAGGAAATAATTAAATGTCATTTTCAGTTTAATTCGCATAACAAGTCAAGTCCATGTACAAAAAAATGGAACTTTCCTATCAATTAATCTGAATTCGCATTAGGAGAAGTTCTATTGCTCATACGATCTAAGAAAACTTGCCTTCAACTGTAACATCGTAAACTTCTCAATAGTACTTAATACTTAAACCTTTTCAATTTCCACTGGACTACACCCAACTAAGTAAGACCCAACAAGCTCCACAAATAATCATGTCACATAATTATCACCTCTCTCTTTGTTTAACTGACCTGTGTGTAATCTCAAGTGTAACGTCATGTTGGAGCGGTCTGCGAAGCGCTTGTCGCAGTGAGGGCAGGCGTACGGACGCTCACCGGAGTGCGTGCGCTGGTGCTGTTTCAGTAACATCTTCCGAGAGAACGCCTTGCCACATTCCTCGCAGACGTGGGGTTTTACACCTGGAAGGATATAGTTAGATTATATTGTGAATAGCGTTCAGTATTTCAGTGCAACAAGTTCAATATCAGATTCTTTTATCGAATATAGTAGATGAACGAGCAAATAGATCACCTAGTGATTAACGACCAGCACCGCCCATAAGGGCTTTGGGCTTTAACTTGTAGTTTTAGGACGAAAAGCATGGTTTTTAGAATAGAGATGCATCACTAATTGCATATGAATTGGTTATTTTCAATTTTGAATTTTAAAGTTGGTTTTTTTTCTTTTTTAACTTTGCCCCACACGGGGATTTTCCCCTTTGTCGTGGGTGCGTTCACAAACATACAAGTTGACATACACATAATGACACCCAGACCTGGAACAACAATTTGTGAATAACACAAATAGTTGCTCCGTGCGGGAATCGAACCCGCGACACGTTGCGCGGCAGCCAGTTGCCCAGCTACCGCGCCAACCGTGCAGTTTGGCCAAATTCTATTCCCTGTTTTTGCAAAGTATTTCAAAACTTGACTTGCTTACTGTCATCAATTTTGAAGAACCAATGCAAACATTTTTTTAACATACCTAATTAGCAACATAATCATACTTTTTCCAGTCTTAATACGTAATAGGTAGATAAGCTTAAACTTACACTGATACCTAATTGTTTGACAAAAACGGCCATCAGATTAAATAAAATGACAATCTTAACTCGGAACTACCGATCTGTTTGAGGGATCTAGAAACCGAGTATGTTTGAGAAAGTGCAAACTTAGCACCACGTAACTAATTTAATGTGTACTTGAGGTCGACACGGACGATGAACATCGTAAACAAATAAATATTCGAACATTAGCAATAGTCACGTTGTTCATCCACTTATTAAGATACTCGATTAAGCATTTAAAGAGTTATGTTATCTCTTGAATATACTCTTCGGTGTATATCATAGTTAATTCAAAATTATCTTGCCCAAATTCTTATGAAACTTTCTAGTTTCAAATCATTTACGGGTCATCTGATGACAAACGGGCACTGTAGCCTATATTAGCCTATATAGACTTGTAACACCAGACGCATCATTGACCAAGGAAGAATTTAAACACACCTTTGTGAAGGACCCTCCCTATGCTGCAATTTTGTGGAGAAAGCTACAGTAGAGAGTTTAGTACCTTAATATTTCTTCTACCAATAGTACTAGTGTTCCTTATGTTGTTTTATTACCCTGTATTTATGAAACATGTCCTAGAATCTAGAAATAGACCTATCTTACCTGTATGTATTCTCACGTGCATATTGTATGCGACGCGCTGGTTGAAAGACTTGGGACACAGTGTACACTTGTATTCTTTGCGGTTTCTGAAAACAAATGTAAAGTCGATTAACTCGTCGACTACCGGTTTTGTAGACACAATTATAGAACAATAGGTTGCGGTCACCGGTGACCGCTTGGTGTTTGACAGTTTAACATGATTTCAATAAATAAAAAAATACTTTTAGTTGAATCTCTCTAATTTTTTTTTGTCCTGATTCAAGTGCGAGTGTAGTAACTAGTAAGTGCGTTGATACTTGATAATCATATAGGTAGGTACTGCTAGATAGGTACCGCTGTCGTGTTGAAGGAGTGAGCGAAACCATTGGACAACAGAGGGGCATTGGATTTGATTAGCAAACCAGGTGCGTTATAGAGATTTTAGATTTTCAAAAATTCTAAGTCGGATTACACTGATTCTTAATCGACGCGTAGACACTGAA